AGTCCGACCGCAATAGACATGGCAATCATTCGCACTTTTAATGGAGAGTGTAGAGGTTGCGGGACTTGGGAGTCTTATTGCATTCTCCCCGTGTGTCAAATATGCTTCCAGAGCGGACCCTGCACCGCTCCTTCTTCTATGTGGGGATTGACTTGCGCAGGTTTCGGCAAGTGGAGGATGACGTGCATCTGGATGTGCCGCTGACATTGCGGGAAGCCCTCTTGGGGGCGGAGGCGATTTCAGGGAGGAAATTCGGTCAGTCCCTGGCTGTGGCGGTGGCGAATTGCCTTGATTCCGACAGGTCTCCATCCCTAACCTCGAGGGCAGCTCCGAAAGGCTCATCATCCAGGCCAGGATCCTTGCGACGAGCTGTATTGAATGGATCTTGATCCAGGCTTACCAATAGGTCACTCGTCCTCGTAATAAAAGACAACCGGACAGCGTTCTGTTGCAGGCACCGGCGCAGCCTGGGACGACCAAGGTGCTGAGAGGCCGTGGACCTCCGAAGCCAGGAAACCAGGGCCGAGGACATCTGGTCTTGCACTTCCTCTTGCATCTTGGAGCAAAGCAGGAGCTGCTCTGTCGAGGGGTTGAGACGGTTGAGAGAGTCTTCCGGCTTCCGAAAACTGCGAGGCATTTGCCGCGGAGCCTGAGCCCTCGCCAGGCAGGGTGATGTAAGCGAAGCAACAGGAAGCAGCTTGGGGATCAGGATTCTCGCAGAGACCTCGGCGCGCAGGTGGAGTTGATTGAGGAGTTCGACAGCCTCGCAGAGGTTCCCCCCGCCGGCCGATCGCCGAGGAGCTCCGACTCAGCTCTGACTCCCAAGCAGCGCGGCCTCGGAGCTCCGCTGCCGCCGCTCCGCTGTCTTGACAGGACTCCCAAGGGCTCTGCTCGCGCTCACGCGCCGACTTGAGCGGAAAACGAGACCAGAAGGGTATGCGGATGGCGGATAGTATGCACTCTATGGCTTCAGGAAGATGCAGCATGGCATGGAGCAGCGGAGCAGCTTTGTTGTGCCTCGTTTGACTTGACAGCTTTCCTCCTCGGCGCTGGCGTCGCGGGAGTCGAGCCGGGCCTCGCAGGGAGGCGAGGGGGCGATCTGTGTCATTTAGGCTTTCAGAAAGCCATGACAGCAGCACCGGGAGCAAGCATTCTGCAGGACTTCTTCGCGGAGAGGACGCCGGAAAAGTAGTTGGGAGTCTTAGTCTCAGCGGCCCCAGCTCATTGTATTAGGGTGCAGGAGGAGGGGGTGCTTGTAACGGCTTGTATCTTTGTGCCCGGCTCGCTCCTCCAGGACTCCGGGAACGACGGCCACCGAGCTTGGAGCGAGCGAGGTGAGTCCGGAAGCCCAGAACGGCCTGTGACAAAGAAGACTAGGAGCTTAGCCAGTTTCCCCCAAAAGGAAGAACCCTTTTGCAAGCCCTCTGTAGACTCAGACATGCACGTGTTCACACAGTGGGCCTGTTTGCGAGAACACGTTTTTGTGTCGACTTTCTTTTCTTGCCATACGGAATGGCCCATACCCACATAATTTCATTGCGGGCTGATTGACTGGTCTCTTCTTGGCTGAGGTCCGACGCAAAGGATGCCCCATCGTCGGAGCTTTTGCACCCTGAAGGCTCAAGGGTGTTGTATCCGGAAGGACCTGGACGTCATCGCCAAGACCCGACAGCGTGTTCGCGAGGCTGGGCTGTCGCTAGAAGGAGCCCGGAGCCTGCTCCTTTTTTCTGCAGGTGCGGGAACGAGAGCGGCTCGAGAGGTTGCGGGAGGAGGAGGAGAAGGAGCAGCGAAAGAAGGATGCCCAGGCCACAGCACCATGTCGAATGTTAACTGTTAAGTGAGTCAAATGCCTAAGACCCCGTGTCGTTGACTGTTGCTTTGGGCGTGAGCTGTGACAGGCGCGCACATCACACACACACATGCTTTTGGCTTTTGGGATGTGGGTATGTTGGTCTTGGTCCGGCTCTTCGTCGCCTCTGGGCGTTTGCTTTGCCAGTTCTCTTCGCTACTGCGTCTGCCGATGAGTTGTAGAGATCAGAGATGTTTTCTCGGGCCCATTCTGTTTGGCTTTGTGGCAATGTTCTTTGGCAATTGTATGAAGTCACCCGACCGAGCCGGTCTAAGAAACTCGAACCGCCTCCCGGGCACCGGAGCAGCATCCGACAGCTCATGACAGCTCCCTCTCGGTCCCGTGACTCCCCTGACTCCCCTGATGTCCTGGTTCCCGGCAGAGGCGCAGCACGAGGAGCGCCTTCGGCGCCAGGAGCACGAGAAGCGGCAACGGCTCCTTGAGAGGAGGCCGGCGACCGGCGGAACACTCCGTGCTTGCTCCCGCTTGAAGCTTCGCAGGGTAGAGCAAGAGTCGAAGATGGCCAAAGACGCCGAAGAGAAGCGACATGACCAGGCCAGGGTAGTGACTAAAAACCAAGGGTTGACGCGTGGTGATGTCTCCTCAGATTTTCACAGAGGAGCGGCGGCGACAGCAAGAAGAGAGAGCTAAGTCGCTGCAGCGCCAGATGCAGGCATCAGCTTGTACTTGTGCCTAGCTTGGGTTGCTTGTGTGGCAGATGCAGCCAGGCGCGGATCAAGGCTGAGAAAGAACTTGCTGCAAAAGAGAAGAGAGAGCTGGACCGCTTGCTCACTTGACAGGCAAGTGTCTAGAGTAGAGCACGGTTCAAGCGCAGCTGCTAGGAGCAGCATGAGAAGGAACAGCGGCGGCGCACCGAAGAGGAGGCAGGGAATAAGCTCGCAGTCTAAGCTGTCGGACTGCTCTCCTGCAAGCGCAGGCTGCCAAGCGAGCAGCTGAAGCGACGGAGGCGGCCAAGAGAAGGCCGAGCCGAAACGTGAGTCCTTCGCGTGGACCTCCGCACTCTGCTCTGCCAGGCTGGCGGAGCGGAAGAAGCAGCAGGCGCTGGGACCGCGAGCGACAAGCGGAGGAGCTGAACGTTGCGTCGCTGCGTGGCGCAGGACAAGCTGCGGAAGGACGAGGAGGACCCCCAACCGGAGAGAAGCTGCAGTAGAACTCGGGACCAGGGAGGGGGTCTTCGGGTCTTCGCGTGAATTTCGCTTGAAGTCTGCTGAGGAGGCCTCGCAGCGGGCAGAGAGCCGAGAGAGCTCCGGGAACCACCGCGAGCTCTCGCAGCCGCGGCCTGCTCGTGGGGACTCCGTGGAGGTTCTGGCTCGGCGCAAGGCGGAGGAGCGGGTGCGGCACCGGTCGCAGGAAAGGCGCAAGGAGGAGGAAAGGATCCGGGCACGGGAGGCTTTCCAGAAGTGCGAAGTGGAGGAAGAGCTGCGGATGGCGAAGGAGGAGCTCGAGCAAAGGCGCCGCTCGGCGGCCCTCCGTGCAGCCTCAAGGCAGCGACGGGAGAAGGAGACAGAGGAGCGGCTTCGCCAGGAGCGGGACGAGCAGACGGCGGCTGCCAAGGAGCGGCGCCTTTTGTATCGGAATCCCAAAGCCATCGCGGAGCTCAAGGCATCGGAACCCCAAATGCCGCTGACGTCGGAGCAGCGCCGCTCCCAATCCCGCCGACGCCAGGCCGAGCAGGCCAGGAGCCCAACGCAAAGCGAGTCTCAAAGACTTTTTTTTACTGAAAAATAGATTTGCTATATAGTTCAAGTTTCCTAGATAGAGATCGGATCTGCTGTGACCCAGGAGAAGCTCCAGCGCTACGCGGACGGCCTGCCCGTGGAGGACAGCGGCCGGCCGCCACCGCTGCCCGGGGCCACGGGTGCGCGGCTGCGACGTGGCAGCCGCTCCAAGGGCGAGCGCTCGGGCGGGGGCGGGGGCGGCGCGAACCGGCTCTCGCCGAGCTCGTCCCTGACGGAGCAGACCGGCTGCTCGGAGACGGAGTCGGTGCTGGAGCCGCTGGAGGAGCCCGACGAAAAGCACGCGGACGCAGAGCACGAGGAGAGCTACGAGCACGCCGAGCACGCCGAGCACGCAGAGTCCAAGGCGGAGCTGCCACCGACCCCCTCGGTCGCTCACATGCTCCACGTTCAGGACGCAAATGAAGCTGCGGTGATACCGGTGGCAGAGCTGCCGCTGACGGGGCTTCCGGTGGGCAAAGTGTCTGGGCACCAAGGGATGGAGGTGAAGGAGGATATCTTAGAAGTTAGTCAAGTGCCAGAAGAGCTGGCACAAGAACCGGTGGAAGAACCGCTGGAGCCTGACGAGCTGGAGGAGGTCGAGGTGGAGTCCAACCTGAGCATCAGTTTGCACATCAGAATCTAAGTTACAGACATTCCGGAACCTTGTCCTTCCATGTCCGAGTCAGAAGAAGCTGCCATTGCAACCCGTCCTGATCCATCAGTATGGCCCCACGAGCCTTCAGGCGTGTCACCACCTGCCAACTAGGGCGGGGCTTGCGAGAGCCTTCAACATGACAGAAGCTAGCTGGAATGAATTTGGGGGAAGTTCTGATGGCACTGCATCAGAGTCGGGTGTTCGACTGAGCGAGCAGGTTCTTGCGTGCCAGCATTTTGCACGATACGATGTCATGAAAGCCCTTTGGTTCACAAGTCTCGGGGGCAGCAAGCTTTGCATCTTGACTGAGAAATTTCATCTACTTGTGCCCTGGATGCAACGACACGGGCGCTGCAAACACATCTCCTGGACGAAGTCTCGGTTGCTGCCCAGGGCCCGGCGACATGATCATCCGCAGCCCCACCCTCGGCCCGGGCTGTGCCGGAGTATGCGAGGTTGCGAATAATGCCAGGTTCTGTTGGCCTTTGCATCTTCTGCATGGCCTCCGGCCACTCTGGCCACACGCAGCACCCATCTTCGCTGCACAAGCAGGAGCGACAAATGACAAAGGAGGGCGTCGAATCTATAGGGCTTGGCAAAGCCTTCTCTGCAAAGCACGGCAGGCGATGACGGTGGATCCGGACGGAGATCTGAGCACCGGGTTCGCCCCTGTTTCTGAATCCTGTTAGCGGAGCGGAGAGTCGGATGGAGTCCGGTCTGAGGCCGGTGAAGCAGCTGATGAGGAACGAGATCCCCGATGCCTCGAGCTTGTCAGAAATCGAAAACGGCCGAGATCTCGGATCTCTGCAAGTGGTTTTAACTGAGTGGACGTGTTCAGGGCCATGAATGCGCCGTGGAAGTCATGGTGCCTTCAGAGTCTTGTGGCTACGCAGACGCTACTTTTGACATTCTTAACGGCTAGCCCCGACCCCTCCTGCTACTGCTGTTGTGCCTGCGACTTCTTCGGCTCCTGCTACTGCTCCTGCTTCTGCTGCTTCTGCTGCTCCTGGTACTGCTACTGCTCCAGAAGAAGACACTGGTACCACTGCTGCTGCTGTAACAGCAACAACAACTGCTACGACTACTACTGCTACTGCAGCCACTTGCAGATGCTACTACTACGTCTGCTGTTGCTGCTACTCATACAGAGTGTTGCTGTCATCCGTACACTGATGGCTGGATACCTACGTTTCCTTTCATGCACCAGGCCAGGCGCGAGCAGCGCAGGAAGCAGGGATGCTCGAGGCCGTTACGATTGGAAAGGACGCAGTATTAGGGCTGTGGCCAGAGCACGGTGATTCAGTGATTTGAGTAGGTGCACCGGTTGAAAGGAAGCGAGCGGAAGTTCCAGCTGCTGCTTTTGCCACAACGGATAAGAGTTGTACAGCCACAGTCTGAAACCATCATACTCGACATTTTCGTCGTCGTCATCATCATCATCATCATCGTCGTCATCATAATCAACGATGAATCATGTTTCAGCACCGTGATCATCATCATCATCGTCATCATCATCGCCATCACTGTCATGACTATCAGCACCATCCCTATCCAACCAGCACATACCAGTATCACATCGAAACATATCATCTCAAGTCAACCAGCATGACGACGGTCATGATGCCTGGTAAACACAAGCGTCCGCAGCAGGATCCAGTATCAGAAGACAGCACCGAAACTGAAACTGCCAATCATGTTGACATGTATTGAGCACACATTCTTTCACTTGTTATTTAGCTATTCATTCCTTCCTTTTTGTCGTTCGTTCGTTCGTTCGTTCGTTCGTTCGTTCGTTCATTCATTCATTCATTCATTCATTCATTCATTCATTCATTCATATATATATATATATGT